TGCAGGGGTTGCCCCCAGCCATCTCACCGACGGCTTTGCATGGGGTCCCGCTCGCCTCCCCATTTCTGCAAGGTGCAAAGCAGGGCTAACCCTGATTTGGGGGATTTTGGCGTTATGGGGACAACAGGAGCAGCCCTGCAGACTCTCTGCTCTCTTCCCAGAATGAATTTTAGCCTCCTGAGCCAAATGCTGAGAAAGCGCTGAATAACTGCAACAAATTAGATTACTTTTTGGTACTTGGCATTTCTCAAGACGTAAGATCTTCTGCTGGAGAATTAGGAATGATGCTTTGGAGGCCAACGACTTCCCGCTTTCTGCTTTCAGCCCAGCTGACTCCAGCCAAGGATGGGGCTCCGCATGGTCCTCAAGCCAATGGACATTCCTGCAGGAGTTTTAAAAGCCTTTTGGAAACAAGCCAGCCTTACTCCAAGGGCAGCGAGCCAAAAAAAACCCCCAAACCCCAGGCTTAAGAGCACGAGTGGCCAACAACATTGCCCATTATCTTCTCTCCATGTTTCCGTCCCATCCCGACTTTCCCTGTCTTTCCCACGAGCCCGTTCCCTTTCTCACGCTCCATCTGCTGTTTCCAAAAGAGGAATATTCTCGCTGATCCATCTTTCAGGACGACTTCAGTTATTTTCTCCTAGCCTCAGGTTATGCCCTCTCCTTATCTCTGCTCTGCAGGCGTGCACGCGCGTGGCCACATCCCCACCCTTCCTGGCATCACCTTTATCTTGCCCAAATCCTGCTGGAGCAATTACACCAGGAGTCAAGAAATCTTCCCTGGGGTAAAACCACGGCGAGCGAGAGCACAACCTTGCTTATTCCCTCGAACTCTGATTTTGCTGCAAAATTCCCATTCCCAGGGCAGGATCTGGCCCTATTGCAGCAGGATCGTGGTGATGGCTGAGATTTCTTGGCTGTCCTGCGCTCTCCTATTGTGCATCTGCTCTTGTCCGTGACTTCCACCCAGCCCTACCCCTGGCTGCACAGCTCGGCTGCCCGCGGCTGCCTGCACGATGCTGCCCTGACCGCGTAATGGATGCTGCATTTTCCCCGATGCGATCACTCCATTAATCTCATGCAATTAATGCTTCGGGAAGCATTTTGCAAATATTGGTAGTAAGGAAAGAGCTACAATGCTGCTGTTTTAGTTGTATTACCGTAGTAAGTCACAAATTACCTAGCTCAGGAGGATTTTCTTTCCATGTCCAAGACTTTCTTGGCTGCTCTTTGTCCTTTTTGCCCAGTGCAAAAGGGCCACGCAGAAGTGGGATGGATATTTGTGGCATCTTGGAGGCCAGGATTCCAGTAACGTTGGCTTCCTCCCTGCTTCCCATCCGAACAGAGATGTGTTCCCCTCTTGCACACAGTTAAAAGAGGGCATCTGCTCTTTGGCCCCGACCCTGGGATGTGCTCAACTCTCTACATTTGCACTGAAGTCCTTGAGGACCTCCGTTCAGCACCTCAGCAGATCAATCTGGGGACTTTTTGCATCAGACGTGCTCATCCCGTTACACCCAGCCCCATCCTACAGTCCCCACTGCATGGGCTTCCCGTTGCACGCTCCCTCCTCAGCTCCCTAGCTCTGGAACAGCTATAGCCGGTCCATCCTGGCACGTAAAGTGGAAAATCATAAAATCCGGTTTCCTCTGCAGGGAGAAAGAGTCTCCTGGCTCCTTGTGAGATTAAGCTTTGTGCATATATCTGCAAATGTTAGGGGGCAGAGGTTAAGCTGAGCAGTGCAAGGGGAGGAGGTGGCAGTGCTTAGCAATGCAGATCAGATGGCTCTGAGACCTTCCAGTATTCATGGCCAAATCCTGGGATATTTAGGGGTTTAGAATATAATGAAGTCAGATGAAGGAAGGAGTGCTGTTTGCATGAGGAAGGACGGATGAACTCAGCTCCCTGGAAGGAAGCTCTTTGATCTGCTGGTGGCCATGAAGGTGGCCATCAGGGTGGTGAGCGTGCCCTCCTAGGCCATCCCCAGAGGTAATCGATGCTGCTATCTCCAGCAGGAAAGCAACCAGGAGATCAAGGACACCCATGAAAGCAGACTTGGGCTTTGGGTTTTGCTCTCTGCTGGGAGTTGCTCCATGATGCTGGAAGGGGAGAAGCAGGATGGCCTGGCTGGATGGGATGATTCCTCAAGTCCTTGCATCCTCTGCTTAGAAAAATCAGCCTTGCCGAGGAGATGCAGAGGTTGCTCCTGGCAGCCGTGCAATTCTAGGAGTAGGTTTCAAGGCCATGCAAAGATGACAGCTTCCCGGGCACCTCTGCCTTGCCGGAGGTACGTGCAGCTGTAACTTGCTGTGACCAATTTGCCGTCTCCGCTCCAGCTGAGATGCGCGGTCACGCCTGCTCCGAGAGCGCTTTATTCTGCTCTTTGCCACTGCCTCTGGTTTTCAGCAAAGGGCCGTGCTTGCTTTACGGTGCTTCAGTTTAATCCGCTTTTTTTTCTTCAGCTGGAGATTTGCTAGAAGACGGGGAGGTCAAGGGACCTGCCTGGGGCCAGGGACCGAGTCAAGGGATTCAACCAAGGGAAAGGGAGTCCAGGACTTGGGCCGGGCAGGCTCTGCCTGGTCTCGTGTAGGACCTTTTTTCCCTGTCCCCTTGCCCACGCTGGCTTCTTTCCCTGAACCCCATTGAACCCATCTCTAGGGGAAATAGGAGGCTGAGCATGGCATGAGGCCATCCCAAGTCATTTTGGGGGCTCCCTTTGCAGGGGTACTCAGGGTATTGGGGGAAATCTGTCTCACCCAGCTGCTGCCCATCACCCCAATAGGTTGTCCTGCTGAGATGCTCCGGGAAGGAGCCAGAAAGGGGAGCGAGATGGTGCCAGGTCTGCAGGGGATGGACGGAGGGCTTGGTGGGCTTCTCCCCTGCCACAGGCACCATTCCGGGGTGCCGCTGGGCGTGGGGAGAGCCGTGGGTGCATGGCATCAGTTGTTGCCTCTTCTTGGGGACACCAAAGTGGACTGGGGCAAGCCAGGCTCACCGCTCACACCCAACCACAGGACATGTCTGATGTCTCCTCCGAGCTGTTTGCCAGCTGTCTTGCCGGTTGTCCCCCATCCTTCTCCCCGCCAGCACTGCCACCACCTCCTCGCCCTGCCCTGCCAGTGCCTGCCATAATCCCGGTGCTCTGCCTCCCTCCCCGGTGCTAATCCTATAAACCCTCGGTAAATCCTGCCCACCTGGCCCTGCCTCTCCATGTCCCTCCTCCGACCGAAGCAGTCTTCGTGGGGTCCCCTAGCTTGGGCCTGGCATCTTTTTGGGGTGCACAAGGCTGTCACCCAGATAATGTAGCGCTTTGGGGGGTTGCTTGCATCTGAGCACTGGGAAGGATGCCTAAGCCCTGGGGGGGGGTGTGCAAAGTGCTGGCAGCTATTGGGAAAGACAGCTGATGCACCCCAAAATGCACCCCAAAACATGCCCGGCTGCTGGTTTCGTGCTCTCAGGAAGCAGTTCCCGTGCTCAGCCTGAGCTGCTCCAGCCCGTACCCATCTCCAGAGGTGGGGACAGGGCGGTGGAAACCCCTGACGGAGTCCTGGGGTCGGGGTGAGGAATGAAACAGAGCAAAAAGATGCACAGCTGTGGGGTTAGGATCCCTCCTTGCAGGGAGAGTAGGGTTGATCTGGGATGGGGATGGCCAGCACAGCCCGTTTTAATAATCCTTTCTGCTAGGATATTGGAAAATGTTGAGAGGGAAAACCCCACAGGAAGGCAGATATATCTCAGAGAACAATATTTTTGCAGCCAACAGAGCCAGCTGAGGTGGACCCGATGGGTTGCTCGCATCTTGTGCAGAGAGGGGATGGAAAGCCTTTATCAGACTGAGCCGGTGGTAATCATCTGAGCCGTTTTCGTTGGGGCCGGTTCGGTCCAGTTCACACAGGGTTCACTATTTCAGCAGATCTATTTTAAGACTCCCGTGGGGTGCGGGAGCAGGGCTGGCACAAGGGGAGACCCTGGTGCTGCCTGCACCCATCCCGGCACGATGCCGGGCTCTTGGCATCACCGGCTGGGGATGGGAGGCAGCCAGGGCAGCCCGGGGCTGGGACCGGCACCCCAGCAGCACCGGGGCCAGGCGAGGAGCCGTCCTCGGGCTCATCAATGTGCCCTGCAAGGGCTTAGGCGAGCAGTGAATCACTACATCTCCAGCTAGTCCAGAAAAGATTAAGCCGACCTAAGAATAAAAACAAGTTCAACCGGCTAGGATAAAACACGAAAGCGTGCCAATCGCCGAGCTCCAGGAGGGGAAGGGATTATAAACACCAGGCAGGGATTATAAACCACCGCACATTTCGGTGCACAGGGCGGGCGTTATGCTCCGGTTGTGCTTCCCAGGCTGGATGGGTTTCTTGTGCCTCCCTTCCCAGTGCTGCGGTGAGGTCCCCTGTGCGTTTCATCCCGCTAACGACCAGTTAAGCAACTCCAGTAAGTGCCCACGCAAATGTAGGAGTTCAAACAGGGGCACATTTCCGAGGAGAATAACCACATGGATCTCTCCTCGTGAGGCCTTTATTTCTATAGAGCCGCTCCCTTCCACCACGCGCGGGATGAGAGGCACTCTGTATGTAAATAAATCCATCGTAATATACCACCCGCTTTGATCACTGCCGGCAGCACGGATAGGATCAGAGTCTGCTCCTGGATAACGATTCCCCTACCCCGTGTCCCCACTCCCTTCCCTTTCAAATTAGGGGTTGATCTGAGGGGCAGTTCCTCGAAGCATCGCTCCGTGCTCGGTGATGCCTTGGCTGGTTTCAAATATTTCCGCGCCGCAGCTGAAGTGCATGCCTGCCATCCAACCAAGACGTTATTTTTGCCTCCCACAGCGTGACATTACGGTCCTTGTCACGGAGGTGGGACTGGGATCCAGAGCTGCACTTTGCTGCTCCCGCTAACAATGGGCTCGCGGAGGAGTTTGATGCTGTTAGCGGTCCACGGGATGCCATGCCATGAAACCCCTCTTTGCTTTTGTCTCCTCTTCCCAGGGACATACCAGGGCCAGTGGGTCGGAGGGATGCGCCAGGGTTACGGCGTCCGGCAGAGCGTTCCCTACGGCATGGCTGCGGTTATCAGGTCACCCCTGAGGACGTCCATCAACTCCCTGCGCAGCGAGCACACCAACGGCACGGCGCTGCACCCCGCGCCAGCCCCGCCGTCTCCCGGGGTGGCTTCGTCCTCATGGCCCACAGTGATGCCGAGATCCTCAAGAGCAAGAAGAAGGGCATCTTCCGGCGGTCGCTGCTGAGCGGGCTCAAACTCCGTAAGTCCGAGTCCAAGAGCTCCTTGGCCAGCCAGCGGAGCAAGCAGAGCTCTTTCCGGAGCGAAGCCGGGATGAAAAAAAAGCTCCACCGCCAGCGACATCAACTCCACCATCAGCCTGGGCGAGGGCGAAGCCGAGCTCTCCGTCATCGAAGATGACATCGATGCCACCACCACCGAGATCTACGTAGGCGAGTGGAAGAACGACAAGCGGTCGGGATTCGGGGTGAGCCAACGCTCGGACGGGCTGAAGTACGAGGGAGAATGGGCCAACAACAAGCGCCACGGTTATGGCTGCATGACCTTCCCCGACGGCACCAAGGAGGAGGGCAAGTACAAGCAGAATATCCTGGTCAGCGGCAAGAGGAAGAACCTCATCCCGCTGCGGGCCAGCAAGATCCGCGAGAAGGTGGATCGGGCCGTCGAGGCGGCCGAGCGGGCGGCCACCATCGCCAAGCAGAAAGCGGAGATCGCGGCATCCAGGTAAGGTGGTCCCCGTCCCAACGCGGCATCTCGGCAGGGGTCCTGCCCCAACAGCTGTGGTTTGATGGGAGGAGTGGGATAAGACTTTTTGCGGTAATATGTGCTCGGAGGGATATTTTAGGGAAGCTGCCGGAGGCAAGCACGCATTGCAGTGGGCTCAGGCGGCAGTCGGTGTGATCTGGACCCCAAAGCGGGAGCAGGCAGCATCCTGGAAAATCAAGCAGCTGGGCTTGCCCAAGCCTCATGGGTAGTGTTCAAAATGGGGTAGATTCATGCTGAATTGTCCCTCTGCTAACTCCGAGTGGGCTGTGGGTGCACAACCTTCCCGGACCAGCTGGCGAGGCCATGCAGGGTCACCCAGAACGGTGTGTTCGCTGCAGCTTGTGCAAGAGGCGGTTGCACCGTGGTGGGACCACACTTGGGGGTCACGGTGTGGGGCTCACAGGCTGGTTGCTGTCGCTTAGGACGTACTGGGTTATTTACCCCGTTTTCCCTTAGCCCCTTTAATGAGCAGGATGATACCCTTAGCAGAATTACTCCTGGATGCTGTTTGCCCGTATCCTCTGTCTGACTTATAGCCAAGAGGAACCATCCCAGGGCTGGTCTGTGCTGGGAGAATTCCCAGCTATTTCTGTTCCCAAAAGAGGTTTTGAGTGGAAAAGCAGTCAAATCGCTGGCTGCAGCTGATGCTTGGGGAGGGTTTTCCCTGCCTGAGGCTCTGCTAGAAAGCAGCAGATCTGGGTGCCCAGATAATCCCTACAAACCTCAAGAAGTCCCCACTCCCTGGGCTGGCTGTAGCCATCAGGGAACTCCTCAGGGATTCGGAGCAGGGATCTGATCCGGCTGAAAACCAGCAGGAGGGAGGTGGGGAAAGGGGTTATGTCTGATTTAGGTTCAAATAGGGTCCAACTCCCAGCTCAGAGCAGGGCCAACTCAAGCACTTTCTAGCTGGCTTCCAAGATGCTCCCGGAGCTTCGTGGTTTGCAGCGAGCTCCCAGACAAGGGGTGAGAGCCGAGGAGGAAAGGTTCCTCTGTCCAATTCAGGGCTCTTTGTGTCACTTTTGGGAGATGGTTTATTAGAGCATGGTCATTCCTTTCTGTTTTATGAGCAAGTGCTACATATAGCAGCCAGGCTGGGGAAAAAAAGGGCTGGGGTTAGGGGAAAAACCCAGGTACCTCCTCAGTCTCCTGTGCTGGATTAATTGCTAGGTCTGGATCATTTGTATGCAGAGTCACACTTGAAATCTTTATCAGCATGTCTGCCGATGACTTATCTGCAATACGAATGAGACTCCCAGGCCTGCTTTGGGAGCATATTTGGGCTTGATGATGTTTTCAAGCTGATGTTGTACCAAATTGTTGTCAAAGCTGTGGGGAAAAAAAGAAAAAAATCCCACTAGGTTGCCAGGTAGGAAACAGACTGCAGAGCAGCAGAAAGACCAGATCTTTCCCTGTGGTCTGGGGATGGGAATGCCTCGATACAGAGGCCTGAATCCTGCAAATGTGGAGCTCTAGTCTGCCGTGGGATGCTGGGTCTGAGCACCTGAGCATCCTCCATCCACAGGTGGTAATGGTCCTGGAAAGCCACGAGAGTGGGAGGGGGAAGAAATATGGCACACCCCCAGCCCGAAGAAATATGGCCCCCCCCCCCCCCCCCCCCGCCCCATGCTGGAAATGCTTAATGAGCTCTATGCATATAATGTTCCACCTTCTAATTATGAGAGAGAAAGAAAAAAATCAAATCAGATAGGAATGCCAGGGCATGAATACCTTCCTCCCCTGTGCTGGCTGGGGTAGCGTGGTCCTGAACTCTGCTGGAGAGCAGCAGCAGCGCCGGGAGGGAGGACGCAGCCCGTGATTATGCATGTGCGTGGAGGAGGAGAAAGGCTGTGGGATTTGGGGACCACCCAGAGGACCCCTTCAATCATCAGTGAAGATGCAAAGAAATAAAGGAAGGGGAGTGCGCTACTTCGAGGATGCTTTGTCTGGTCCCACCAGAAAATGCTCCGTGAGCGACCTGACATCTCCATCCCGCAGCCCACGTCCCTCCACCGTTTGTGCTTGGTCTTAACTCCTCTGTCCTTGACTAGACACATGTGGAAGCAAGCGAGCACTGGGATCTCAGGGCTTGGCTCTGTTTATGGCACAGCCATCGCCTCCGGTGCACGAGGGCTGCCGGGGTGCTGAAAAGCCCTTTATTGATCCGCCGCGCTGCCCATCTCTCGCTGCGTGAGCCAGGGACAGACAGACCCCAACGTGACGTGTGCCGTGCATTAGCACTGGGTTACCAACCACGAGTGACATCCATCCCGGGAATTTTTGCTGCCGGTGTTAATGGCTTATGCTGAGGGCCCAAAACCTATTGACACGGCCAAACCGTTTGGCTACAGCCGGGCACCATCGCAGGATTTTGGCTTTGCTGGAGATGTGGGGTAGGTGGGATTAGGTGGGCTCAGCCCCAAGGTCTTGGAGGGTATCTTGGACCTCAACATGCAAACTGAGAGAGCTGCTTTGTCCGAAACCCGCGATGCTTCAGCTCAAGCTCTTCCCCTTTGCGAGGGTTTGTGCAGACACAGGCTCTCAGCGTGCAGAACCAGAAGAGAGCAAGGTTTTACAAACCTAGAACCAGCTAGCAAGGCTTTCATATAATTAGTCCGATTAAATTTAAAGCTTCTAAATGAATAAACACTCCCCTGCAGTGCCCACACCAAACTGCATCGTCCAAATGGAAAGAAATGCACAAAATAGGCAGCGGGTGCATTGGCGGAGGAATCGTGATGCTCATTTCAGGGGCTTTGGGGCTCAGGGGTGCAATATCCCCCGTCTAATACCAACGTGAGCTCTGGCTTACCAGCACCTGGGGATTTTATAACAGCACTGGTGTGCGTCTGCCTATGTGTGTGTGTGTGTATTCTCTTCTGTCTAATAATATGGCTGAGTTCACTCTGCAGCCTTTCCCTTGGTGGGGGAAAATATGTGCCCACCCACGTATTTCATTAAATTTGTAAGAATTCAGTATTTTTGAAAACTCTGCCGCTCTGTCAGATTTGGTTGGAATTGGCCAACACGTTCAAAAGTTATTAGTGTGGGAGTGATGGCATATAGATATATAAACAGCACAATCACATAAGTAAGCCCCATTTCCTGAGGAAAGTAGGCTAAAAACAGTGTACTGAAGACAAGTAAATTGGATTCTTAGAGTTGTTTTAGTCTGAACAGAGTACAACATTATCGGTGACACAGAAAAGTAAGCTCACTTAAGGAATAGTTTTTAGGTTCAGTAGATGATTCTCCTAAATTTTCTTCGATGCAATTAAAACGAAAGAACACTTTCTTTCCTCTTGTATCTCCCGTTCGCTGAAAATGTTCGTGTAAAGTCAATGGGCGAGCAAGGCTATGGATCAGAGCTGAACAAGTACCGCTGAGATCAACTATCGGTTTTCAGCGGTAGCCGAGGAGGGAGCCCTTTTCCAGCCTGCTCAAACTGAAGGTGCAGGGTGTCCTCTTTGTGCTGTGGGGTGCTTCATTGCCCTCTCCTACCAGCCAAGAGCCATCGCTCTTTCTGCTGCTCCCCTGGGAGGATGAAGGATGCACTGGAGACACCGGCTCCCATCTCCTTCGTGCTAAACGTTGGTACCCGAGGCAAATGGTCCATAGGCACTGGTGTGTCGTGGTCAACTCAAATATAATTCCCAGGCCAGAGAAGTGGGTCGGGAAGCTCATCCTCACCCCTTGGCTCTCGGCACAGCTGTTGGCTGTGCAGGATAGATGCACATGGAGGATCAGGGGGTGCTCAGCACCGACTTCAGCTTTTAGCGACGGACGATGGTAGTTTTAATGCAAGGCAGTCAGCCCCTAATTCTCTCCAGGGTTTCCTTCTGCTACCACAGTTCAAGGTTTTGTAATTAGTGGCTGGGCTACTTATGAGAGGAAGGGCCGTCACTGGTGCTGGGGGTATGGGTCAGAGATGGGTGGCATTTGGCAAGTACTCAGCTCCTCTCCAGCACAAGCTTCACGAGGCCCCGTTGCTCAGCACCTTAAATAAGAGCTCCTTGGAGCAGCCGATGCCCTGGCACCCCGGAGAGGATGCTGTTCTCGGGTTAGTCCTAAGTAATGCACTTCCAGGCGTAATTATAGCCGAGCCATTCACCAACGATGAGAAAAATATAATTAATCTCAATAGTCTCGGGAGGAGTCGGGCTACAAATTAGCACAGTGTCATTCAACTTCAGAAAGGGAAACTGGAGAAAGAAAGAAAAAGGAAGCAAATAAAGACAACCTGGCAGCGAGGACGGGTAAGGGAAAATGTTTGGACTCAGCAGGGAAGCTCCTTCAGGATGCTGCAGTGAGGGCGAAGCATCCGTCCGTGTTTGACGTACAATGGGGAGCAGGGAGGCAAGAAAAGCCCCGGAGAGCTGAACAGCAAAGTGCAGAAGGTTGTTGGAGCCAAACAGGTATTTTCTTCAGAAAAATGGAAACGCAGCCCAGGCAAAACCCACAGAAAAGAATAGATTCTGCAGTTCTGATCCCAAACATTTTAAGTTGCGGTAATGTCACTACCGGCAGTACGCCGAGCCATAATAATGCTGCTTAATGCTCTCTCAGGCCTGTGCCTGCAGCTTCGCAATTGTACTTAGCTGCGTTTGATTTAAGGTTTCTGCCGGCTTCTCTGATGCCTGGGGGAGGTGGCTGCGGGGCTCCCGCATTAGTCTCGCCCTAATCCCCTCCTCGTGCTGCCGGCGGGGCTTTCGCTGCGGATGGAGAGGGGAGGGGAGGAGGGATGTGGGTTAAGGGGAACGCTGTGGCCCCAAAAAGGGTTGTGTGGCCCCAAAAAGGGTTGTGTGTCCCCTCCCGCGGGTGAGGATGGCAGGGATGAGCCGGCAGTGGACTGAAGCCGAAATGGGTCACAGCTGAACTGGCTGCAGGGATGGGGCTGAGCAAACCCTTCAGGGAGCAG